GTAAAAGAATGTGCTGTGGAGTCTACAGGGGTTTCGTTAAATAAAGCTATCTATTTTTTAGGTGATGAAAAATCACCCAGGTCTTAAAAGTGTTTGCTTTGGGTCCTTTATTATGGAATTTTATCCTTATTTGAGGTATGAAAAGCCTACCTACTCTGTAAGTCAACATGAAGGGGGCCACTCAACCAAAACTGACAGATGCTAACTCTGTAAAGCTTTTTTTGCCCGAGATCAATTTGCCAGAAGTTAGACTAACCCAGGCATCTGGGAGCTAGAAACTATGAAAATTTAGTACCTTGCTCCCTTCTAAGAAGTCCACATCCTTCTCTACCATGCCCAAAAATAAATGTGTGGTTGCCCAGAATGAAAAACCACGGTACATCACAGGAAAGCATGACAGACCTTCCAACTCTCTCCATTGCAAGCTTTTCTTCTCTTCCCACTCACATAATGAGTGCTCCTTTCTTTTACTTTTTAAAAATGTGTCTGTTTCAAATTTGTATTATTTTTTTCAGATGTCTAATTGCAGTTATGTTCTTTCCCTCTTTGGTCTCCTCTTGCATTTCACATACCAGACAAATATTTAAAGGTCTGTAAAACCAGGCGAGGCTCCAAAATATTTCTAACCGAAACTGCCATAGGTGATAGCACAGGGAGAGAAGGCAAAGCTGTAGGGCAAGGATTTGAATAAACGGGGTGGAAATGTATTGGAAAATCTATTTAAGTTGCTATTGCCACGGATGAGGTTTCAATGAGGCATAAACATACAACTTACTGACAAAACCAACATGTTTCATGATCCCTCAAAATAGTCTACTTGTCATGGTGCATTGCTTTTTTCTTTTTTTATTATTAGTAAGTTGCTCTCTCTTTTTAAAAATTTTTCCCTTTTTTAGCATTCAGGAAGTGAAAGCATTTAAGAAAACATTCAAAATTCTGAGAATACATGTAAGTGAAATATTTAATGTCTGTCATTCATAAAAGTTACATCATTTACATAGGGTTCATTTGTATATAATAAAAATTTCATCATAATGAAAAATTTTCTGGAAAGTTATATGTTAATTTGTTTAACATATGCTTTGGATATACAGCTAACTAAGAATCGTTAAAAAATTCTTTCTTCAAATATTCCCTTTAACAATTAAAAAAACCTCATTCTTACATATTTGTTTTTCTTTCCACTTGCTCCTTTGTTTGTAATATCATATGTAATTTGAACTATGCAAAGATTGGATCTCTTCATAGTTCAGGATATATTTGTATACTTCAATAAATTTGCTCATTGCATAGCAAACATGTAAACTTACAGAGGATCTATAAATTTTACCCTAATAATCTAAAAACATTGCTGAAATTTTATAGGATAGTTTACTCTAAGGTTTATCTTTTGTTGTAACTTGTGTTTGCTTTTTTTTTAAATTTGTAATACATGGGTCGATTGAATACAACAAACAAAAAATCATGAAAAGTTAAAAACCAAGTAAGTCCTTTTATCCTACACTACCAGAATTTCGCTTCATTAGATTGTTTGGACATTTTTTCCCTAAGTATCACAAGTTGGAAATGTACGTGCTGCCTCTTAAGACAGTGTTCAAAAGGAATTTCAACAGTGTGTATTTAACATAAAGTTAACTATGTTTGCATCAAATAAAATGTTTATTAATGAAAGCTATTTATCATACAAGAAACAGCAAAGATAAGTCATCATACAGAGATGTACACTAGAAGTGACAGATGTAAAAGTGCATGCAGAGATTTCTGTTTAAAAAGGAAGGAATAAACAATAATACTAAAATTACTGGGTTTTGATCCTATACTCTCAAAGGAGTGATAGCTTTCTTTGAATTTACAATTAGAAAATGCCATGAACAGATAGGACTAGTACACATTAGCAAGCAAGTGAAATGGATGTTTTTGGACTTTATTTTACAATTACTGTGCTTGACAAATGTGTAGGATTTTTTTTTTTTTTAGCAGTAATAATTTTCTTCAAATATGGGGTGGGCATATTACCGCCAGGCTGCTCTCTGGTTTATACACGGCTTATCTAATTTTGTTTTAAACCACATAACTTTAAGCCTCCATTTGTGTTAGACACCATAAAGAACAGAATTTTTGTTAACATTCAGTAAATGACATTTAAGTCTCTCTCTCTCTCTCTCTCTCTCTCTCTTTTTTTTTTTTTGGCTCAATAGATTTTAAAATGTATGATTATCATAACCTAATATTGTCTTTGTCTTCACTGCAGTGGATTTCCGATCAAACTTTTCCCCTTCTTTTAATACTTTAGGGAATTTTCAAACGTCGGGATGTTTGGCTGTAATGCCCCAAGATTTGTTCTCCCTGAAAAAAATCATAGTGACAATTTATTAACTACAGAGCAACTTGGCTTTTAGGGGTCTGCAATTTCTATTTTGATTTACAAATATCCATTTGTGCTCAATAGACCTAATATTAAATCTTAATCATAGTTAAGTTTCTTTTCATGCAATTACTTTATCTGCTAATGATCTTGTTTTTAATTCTAAAAATTGGGCGGAGTCAAATCAGTGGGGCATTACTTTTTATTATAAGAAAATATATTTAAAGGCAATTCTAAGTTGAATTACATTGCATATGCAATGGTGTGTACATTTAAAATGAATCAGAAGCTTGGAAATCTGAAAACTATTTGTATGTTTGAATATTTAAAAATTTTTTGTATTACCATTTTAATAACTTTTACATACAGATACTGGAAACACACTAGTACAATTAAACCTTAAATAAAACTGATGGGAAATAAAACTCCTTAGATTCAAAACGGTTTATTCACACAAATTTAATAGGATATATCACAATTGTTTGGTCCATAAATATTTAGGGGAAATAGTTTCTATACAATGCATTTATCAATAAACAAAGAAACATGGACAATTTTGCTAGACCACTTACTGTACTATAAACACGAAGCTCAATATATAAGATTATTGAATTTATCAACTATATTTGAAAGAGTGCACAACTGCTTTCTATGACATGTTTGTCCCCTCTAACAGGATACACCATAAAAAGAGTTTTGGAAATAAGAGGTAAAACAGTACAAAACTAGTGAGGTGTCAAAAGGGCTTAAAACAGTTAATTTAACAAACAACACATATATCCTGATTTTTCACAAACTTACTTCCAAGTTATATCATAAGGCACATAGGAGAACTGAGTTATAATTAGTCTACTTAATAAAGTAGATCTATAGTACCATACATTGTTCTGTCAAAGAACAAAATTTATAAGTATCAATATTTTACCTGTAAAAGTGTATTAATAAGATCTCAGCCTTACCAAGGTTGTTTGGTCTGGTTAGTGGTAAATGCCCAAAATGTAATAGAAATATGAAAAGTCAAGATTTAAGCTCCATATAAGATGATAACCACACTTGCTAAATATATAATGGCAATCACACCTTTCTTCTGTTACAGTGTTAACTTATCTTCCACCATCTTTTTTTTTAAAAAATAAGCTACTTTCTGTGCTAATTTTCTAAAGACCCTGAGCAAAAGTTACAATAATGCACTTTAATGTGGGCAGTGAACTGTCAATATGTAACCACACATTTATACAGCCAGAAGGACACCTTTAAAATCTATTAAATAGCCACTTTGACCACCGAAGGAGATTTAAGGGGTCCAAAAAGTGGAGAATATGTGCAAAGTTATTCTTAACAATCCACTAAAGCAAGACATATATCTTGACTTCTTTTTTATTTATTTATTTTTTTTAGGAAATCCACAATCTAATTGGTATTTAACTACAACAGAAGCATATAGATGAACATTCACCACTGCCCAGACCATTAAGATTTTAGCTTAAATTAAAAGAAAAAAAATGCTACTGTAAACTAGGAAATATATTCAGATCAGCATCCACAAGGCTTCTGAGTTTATCTACTTTAAGACTAATAACTTTAAATCTGTAATGTCAGAAAAGTCTTTTTTTCTGACAAATATATCAACCTATGCTGAAGTAAAATAAAGCAAAACAAAACAAAGATTTCTTGTTGTTGATACTAGTCTACTAAGGTTTTTAAAAAAAAAACAAAAAACATTATTCATATAGAATGCCAGATACAATATCATGGTACAGCTGAAGCCAATTAATAGATCTATCAATTAAATTATGCTGATTTTTTAACTTCTTAAAAAATTATATTTTGCTTATTTCCATTTTCCCTAGGAAAAAATTTAATTTAAAAACAATGGTTTTACAACTATCATTTTTAGCTTTCAGTTAAAAGTATAGAATTTCAAACTTTATATGGAATTTTCATAGATACAGAGGGAGTATAAGTATTTTCCAAATGTTGAGAAACAAGTAACTAACTAACAAGTTTTGCTGGGATGTACATCCCTAAAAGAAGGAAAAGTCATATCCTTGGAACAGATTTCCCACCTAATTAATCTTTAGTATTTGGAGCTGCTAGATAATGTTTTGTTTTATCATATTCCTATTTGTAAGAAAAAAGAATAATCAAAACATTTTTTTCAGTTTTAAAATTAAAGAAAACAATGTGAAGTTTTCAAAATTCCATAAATACACATACAATCCCAAGATTTCAAAAATGACTTTAATTATCTGATTATTTATTACCCTAATCATTTAACTGGGAATATAATTATTTACCCATCATAATACCACTTTTTTTTCTTCGAGATTCTGGAAATAAGTAACATACAATTTTAAGAGGCACTTATTAGAATAATTCAAAAACTCCCCTTACCAACTGAAAAGATCTAATTTAAAAAAAGCAAATACACTTCGTAGACAAAGAAAAAAAAAAAGCACTTTGTAAAGAAGACAATACTGTAAACTCATTTGCCAAGTGGCTGCAGATGCTAATAACACGAAGCTGTTGTTTTTATTTCCCAAATATCTTGTGGGTTAGAAAAAAAAAAAAGTATTGTAAATAATAAAATAATAATAATTAGAATAATAAAAGAAGAGGAAGAATTAGGAAAAAAAAAAAACCAATGTTAGAAAAGGTTCGTTAAGGTAGTTTGTGAGGGGCTTCCGGATTCGTGGCTGTCCATGTTAGAGGTCACGGATGTCACTACAGAGATAGTGGGATTGGTCAGGTCTGTTAAAGTGGTCGCAGTGCCGGGTGGAGTAAGAGCGCCGCTGTCTGCTGAGGGCGGGGCCGGAAGCGACGTGCCATCAGCTTTATCAACACCCCCATTCTCCTGCCGCAAAAGGTTCCTTCTGAATTTGGCTCGTGCGTTTTGGAACCAAACCTGCAAACCAATCCCAATTGATTTCTTTACCGATGTTTATTTTATACTTCTTTTTTTTTCCTCTTTCTTTCGTTTTTTTCTCTTCTCTCTCTCTCTCTCTCTCTCTCTCTTTTTTTTTTTTTTTTTTTTTTGGTTCTTGCTTGCTTGCTTTTCTTTCTTTCTTTCTTTTTTTTTTTTTGAATGTATGTTTTCTTTTTAAATTGTTTATTTTTCTTGGGAGAGGAGGGTTTTTTGGAGGGGGACTTCTTTTAGAATAGAGTAATTCGAGTAATGCTACAGATACTCTCTCAAGTGCATATATCCCCCCAGCATTAACAAGTACTACTCAGGACAACTGATACTTAAGTGGAGATACCCTGGAAATGAAGGCACAGAGATAAAGGAGAAAAATATATCCTGATTCCTTAACTGTTTGTTATCTTTTGAGAATGGGGGAGGGGCAGGATCACTGAAAGTTTTGCAAAGTAAGAATGACTCGTATGAAATGAACATCATTGAAACAGATTTCAAGCTATCCTTGAGTCTGACACATGGTAAGTAGTCTTTGCGTAGGAAAAACCCAGGGCCACAGAACACAAGCAGCCAAAAACTGGTTGGTGGAATTTTAAGTGTGTACAATTTGTCACTAAGAAGTAGCAGAGGATCACAGGTGACCCACAGCAACCCACAATTTCGTTAATTGTATATTCCTACCATTGTGAGTTCAGGAAAACAATTGGACAGCACATCTAACCCTCAAAGTTTAGTTTGGAGATATGGTTTACTAAAATGGGAAAATACTTGCTACAGTTGGTTGCTGAGACACTATCTGTAGTTGTGGCTTTTCAGGAGTTTAAAAAAAAAAAAAGGCTTGATCTGCGTTTGGAAGGTCCCGGCCTATGAGTGAGGCTGCCAAGAGTTTGCTGAAATACAAAAGCCCCAGCAGGTCCCCCCTTCAACTCTGTACTGAGCCTAGTGTGAATGGAACTCTCTAAAGCCACAACGTGTACAAATAAGATCAGCCACATTACAGAGCAGTGAGGCAAGCTGTGCTGGCTTTGGTGGCCCCATCTCTCCATCTACAGAGAGAAGGTGGGTGCACTTTAAAAGATCCTGGGTCTGTCTTGGGACACCCTCCAGGAAGCCCCTGCAAAATTTCTGCCTACACTCTAGGGAGATAATTAAGGTAAACTAACGAAAAGCAGTAGAGGCAATATCTGTATTGCTCTAAACCGGGAAGAGAACTCTTTTTGCTGGCAAGGATAAGGGAGAGGTATACACAGCCAAGGATGGAGGTTTCTTACCTGCAAAACTCTTTTGGTGAGGCCTGTTTTCTGAGCAAGCTGCTTGAGATCCTTGGCATCTGGGTTGTGGTTGATGGCAAAGTAGGATTTCATGGTCCGGAGCTGGTGGTGCTTGAAGGAGGTTCTCATGCGCTTGGTCTTCTGAGAGGGTGGGTAAGGCTGCTGATCCCGGTCCAAGTGGTCTGCCTCGTTCTCATTACAACCTGTTGTGGTGACAGCAAACGAGCAAGAGCTCAGTGTCAAGTCAGGCATTAGGGGCAGTGGTGGCAGGCTGTATAATGTTATGATAATAAAGCAACCAGGGGAAAGGCTGTCCCCCAAGTTACAAATGGTATCTAGACCAAACAAAGAGGTGAATTGCCAATGTCAGTCAAACCAGCCTCTTAATATGGACACAACCAAAGTTTACGTAATAGAAAAGTATTAGATAAATCCTCTCTTTTGCATAATGGTTGCTAGAAAGCTTGGGAAGACAAGTAAGTCCTAAGTGTGAAAGAATCATCTGAGAGTGAAAAGGAAAAGCTCTAATGTGTTTATGCATATCAGCACCTGCCCTTCCACACACACACACACAGTTTTTAGAGACTCTGTACTTTGTCTCTCTGTGAAATGAAACATACTGTCTGGAGGCATTGTTCTTTACCATGAGGGATATGCAAATGAGTAATTTCAGCTCTCTCAAATCTGAGAGTTTTTGAGAACCCACCAACTAAGGAAGAACCTAAAGCCAGTTCCCAATTTTTAGTTTTCTCCTGATATTCCTAGAGTCTTCGCAATCAGGAAAAAGGTAGAAAGTGGCTGGAGAAAAGGAAGAATTTATAAGATAAGAACTTGTACATTTCCTATGTAATCCTAAGACTATTATTTTGGAGGGGTTTTAGCTATAACTGGTTAACACTGGGCAATCCCAGGAAGGAAACACTTTTCCCTTGGAGTTATTTTAATAAATATTTCTGAAAGAGAATGAGCCCAGACTTCTCTTCACTCAGTTCATGCCTGAAGCACTCCCCACTGCTCACAGTTCAGAGACACTGATGGCGCTTATGTCTCAGCTCAGATCTTGGCCCTTTCTGTGGTAGATGTGTGAGTGGCATTTGAGCTATGCCCCCTAGCCGGCCTGGCAGAAAGAGGGTAACATCTCTCTCCTTGCAGAACCCTCCTCAGCATCGAGGGCAAAGCAACCCAGCCTTTGAAACCAACCTGAAAGTCATCCTCCCAGGATGTGAAGTTGCACGTTTAAAGGGCCATTTCTGATAACCTACTAGCTCTGCAAAGAAAATAGGATTACAAAATGAAATTTCTCCCTAAATATTGACTGATTCAGAGAACTTCTCATGTTATAGGGCATGGCATTTTTTTCCTTCAAACCCTGACTTCAAAAATAAATAAATAAATAAATCCTTACTTCGGTTATTAACATGATGCATTTTCAGATCTGATCATCCTACATTTTAGTACAATATAATAGAATATATAAAATCAACCTGATCATGTCACTTGGTGGGGGGCAGACAAAACCTGAATCTGAAGAAAGTAAGGCATTTCTTAATATTAGCTCTTCTGCCAGATTATTATTTGTCTGCTATGATCTGGTTAGAAAATTATGTTCTAAAACTTATTTTTAGCAAGTCAGCATATATACAGAAACAGTAGTTTTGGTCATCAACCAAGAGGTGTTCAGATTTCATCACAAAATCTATTTAATGAGAAATTCTTTCTAACGTAAGAAGACATTACATTAAGCATGAATTAATGTCTCCTTTGTTTATATTTCCATAAGGTACATAAGTAGGAGGGCACGTGTGGTAAAAGGGAGGATGAGGGAAAGATTATGTAACATTCACTTTTGGGTCCCCTAAGTCAAGTACAGGGCCAGGACTCAAAAGCATTTTACCCAGATTTGGAATCTTTGCACATCAATAAAATTGAGTGACTATTAATGAAAAATCAAGTCAACTCAAATGGAATCCAAGGTTGATATATACATATAAATGTTGAACATAGACTCCTTAAACTGCATCAGAAGAGTAACATGTACTCAGAGATAAGAGAAAGAATGTACTTTACATTTTATACTATTTTAGCCCAGTGGGGATGTGTTGGGTTCAAATATTCTACAAAACTGTACTTTCCAATCCTTGAATGAAACAGCATCTTATGACCTATGATAAAACTACACTTATCTCCAATAAACTGAGCTATATTTCACAACCAGATTATAAATGTGCCCACAACAAAATGGTCAAAGAGGCACAATTCAGTCATTGGAGGCTTCTTCAAATACAATTTCATTCCTATTATATGTGAGTAACATGTAACTTCCTGAACAACACATCAAATTGATTACACTTGGGATAGAAGACTTAACTCGGTGTTTAAATAATGCCCTTAGCTATTACCCCACCCCAGGATAATATTTCTTAGAGATGAGTATGATTCCTAGCCTCACTATGTACTTCATTAGTCTTTAAAATGAAATTTATGAAAAACAATTATAGAATAGTTTGATTAAACTGCTTTTCTGAGTATGCGTTCTCTATTCATTATTGCTGATTAAAAACTCAGCAGATAATTTTAGTGCATTAAATGTAATAATGGGACTTGTTTTCACATAGACCACAATCCAGTGTATAAAGAGATTGTTAGCCCTTTATTAAAGAGATATACTGTGTGTTTTTCCTGTGACAGTATCATCATACTATTCAACTTAAAAGAGCAATCTGTTTCTTCCACAGAGTAACTCAGTGCATTATCCTCAATTGTTTGTGTTTAACAACAAATGCATTATATAAACTTGCAAGTGATTGTGTTTCCCCTGGGTCTACTTTGAAAGCTATATGTGTTTTTCCCCCTGAATTATGAGATGAAATGATAACGCTCTTCAAACTGCTTTAACCATACACTTGTAAGTACACATCTGGCATTATAAAGTCAGTGAGCGGTCTAAATATTTCATTTTCCAGTCGCTTAGGAAGTGGTCACCTATACTAGAATGAGTTTCTGTTCTGAAGGTGTGTAACCTTCTGAGAACTAACTGATCCCTGGGAGACCACTAGGGGTCAGTGCCAGGCTAATTTAACAACCTCAGGAGCTTTTGAAGTTTGGAATCGTAGAAAAACCTAAGGAAGGGAGATTTTTTAAAACTAGCAAAGATGTAGTCTCTACATTAATGCCAAATTACCCAAATAACAGCTGCCTATCCTAGACTAAATCTTCTCACCCCTGGAGGGCTGCATTTCAATCCAACATTCCAAATAAACTGTATCTTTCTAAAATATCTGCTGGGAATCTGCACAAGGAAGTATAAACTAAATTAGGAATATTTTCATTAAAAGGCATTTGCCAGATGTCAAGCACTAAGTTATCTTTACCAAGTTTCACATCTTCTCTGGATGTCTTTTCTGTAAATGTTTTTAAAAATATACAAATGTATAAATTATATTTGTTTTGTGTAAATGTTACTCTTTCTGAGACTAGTTTACATTTCAGCAGAGATGGCAATGTAAGATCCAGAGAAAGCTAAAATAATGAGTTAAAACTGGGGGCACATTTTACTTTCTACTGTTTAACATGTTTTAAATTTGCCGAAGCTTTTCTTTTGCTAGTTTTGTAACAAACTGACATTAGAGTCATAAAGTTTGTTGTTGTTGTTGTTGTTGTTTTTAAATAGCGAGGTTGATTTCTGGTCATGTACCTTTAACCCAATTTCTCAAAATTATTTTCATCTGATTTTAAAGAAGTATATCCTCTTCATTTGTATCTCTAGGAAAAGTCCAGAAAGGATGGGGTGGATGCTAATTAAAAAGCATCCAGTCTGAAGTGGTGTGATCTACAAACTAAGGATAGGGAGGCCTCAGCAACCCTTTACTCCGGCAGGAGCAAAACAGCATCACCTTTCTCAATAAACCTTGACGGCAGCACTAATCTGCAAACTAAAGACCTAAGTGGAAAGAGATTTTCTTTTTCTTTCTTTCTTTCTTTCTTTCTTTCTTTCTTTCTTTAAGAAATAAATGTGCCCGCTCTAAAAGTAGGGGATACTAAATTCTACTGTTCTTAAAGTTCCCCAGATCCTTCTAACATAAAGACCCAAGACAAAATCAAATTTAGCTAGTTAGATTAAATAAATTAGCACAAAAATTAGTATTGCTGCCGCATGGCTAGAAATCTCCATCCTTCTGCACATTTTCTCGGGGCTGAAGGATTCCCTCTCTCCAAAGGACTGGCTTGTTATGTGGGTCTCGGCCTCTTGGTCTCTGTCTCCGTCTCTCTCTAATTAGGGCATTAGGGCCTTGGTGAGCGCCTCGAGATTCCGATGTCATCTTCTATTAATAAAGAACAATTAGTGCCCTGCCTGTCCTGCTCCGGGGACCTTGCATCAAAGGAGATGAAATGAGCGCGCTGGGCAAAGTGGCCCCGAACCAAAAGCCCTTGCGGATGCGCAGCAGGGGCGAGCGCGAGGCCGCGACCCTCAGCCGGGGGTTGGCAAAACCCGGGGCTGCACCCGCTGCCCTAACAAAAACACGCCTGGGTGGGGTCTGTAGCGAGCCAGCGGCTCTTTTCCCTTGGTCTAGCGACCCTGGCATGAACCCTCTAGGGACAAGCGCAATGGCGCTGAGCTCCCTGGTCCCTAATCTCCGTGGGATGCCACCCGCAGCGATGACCAGGAGGGTATTCCTTCTCCTCGTTTAAATCGGCAGTGAACACCAGGAGGGAACCGAGCAAAGGGCTGGGAGAGCCCACTCTTCAGAGAGGCTTCCCCTAAAAACTCCCAGCTCAGAGCAGGACTATTAGTTCCAAATGGTTCACACTGGCTATGGGACCGTGGATAGATCACTTTTCCCAGTGGACAACGTTCCTTTACCATTGAGCAAGAATGGATCAGCCATCCATCGGGCACTGAGGACTGGAAGACAAAAATCAGCAAGATCTGTGTTTTGGGATGTCCATGCTTTGGCTGGTATCTGGGTGCTCATGGTATCAGAGTGGGGTTGCCCCAAGGAGGTCCCCAAGGTCCCTTCCAATAGAATGGACTCCCTAGCCTGAGTCTCCTGCCTCTGAGATTCTCATCCAGGACTGGGCGTGGCATGGGAAACCAGTCCTCAGTTTCCCAAATGTTAACCTTGGGCTTTCCAGACCCCTTTTCCCAGTGTCTGGAACTCAAGGAAGAGCTTCCTTCCTGCTTGGAAGAAGACAGAATCTGCAGTGTCCAACTCCATCCTCACCTGGGGGATGGAGAGCCTGGCAGACTACCAACCATGGAAAGCGGTGAATGAGAGATTGATAAATGATAGGTGTCTCCCAAAGCAGGGAAGAAAGTGTGTTGTCAGGCCTGTTGCCTGCATTTTGTTTTTAATTAAGAGGGAAGGCCGGTGGAGGACAGAAGAGCAGCCTGTCACACAACTAAGACTCCTCGGTGGGCCTGACCTGGAGCTTCTTTCGTTTTTCCAAAGGGTCTGGTTGTCCGGATGGTTTATCATACAGGGAATGAGCTGGTTCGATGAGTAGCCTGACCTACAGAAGGGGCAGGCCAGCTCAGCTGTGGAGAGTGATTCCTACCCCCACAGCTGCTTTTCACCCAGATACAGGGATTTGGTTTTCAACACTCTTGCCAACTGTGTTCCTGATTAACTCTGGGCTGGTGACCACAGTCTCTGCCCTCTCTAGGCAGACTGGAGCTGGGCTCTGAAGACTTTTTTTTTCTACAGTATATAGGAAAACCTCCTCCAGGATCTATAATTTGGCTTCCACACAGGAATTGCCCTGGGGCTGTTTTGCTCCAACTGGGAGCCAGAAACTAATGGGCTCATTAACTAATGGGCAACAAGGATTTGGCTCTGCCTGTTTGGGGGAAGTCATTGCAGCCCCATGGTCATGAACGTGTTTTCTGCCACAACCTAAATAAAGGTTTTTCTCTCCCCTCTCCATGTCTCCTTCTTTCCCCCTCTCCTCTCTCTCTCTTCTCTCCTTCTCTGTCTCCCCTTCTTTTGGGTGAAAGGGAGTTGTACTGACGAAAGAGGCATGTTAAGCAAAACCCCCTCTTGCCACTAGATCTTGAATGGGAAAAGAGCTCTATGGAATCCTTCTCAGGACAGCCCCAGGCCAGGGCTGAAGTGGGGAGGGGGAAGTAGTAAGGGCTCACCTGAGTTGTAATTGACGATGTCCACTCCCAGCGCTGGGCTCTTCCGCTTCCGGGGCCGCCCTTTCTGCACCGTGCCAGTGCCATTGAAGTAAGGCAGGGCCAAGCCGCCGCTCTTGGCCGCCAGCTCGGTGTAGCTCAACTGCGGTGGATACTCCCCTTGCAAGAGGGTCTCGAAGTGGGCGCGGCAGTACACCAGGCTGTCCTTCATGCCGAAATGGTCGCCGGTGGTCAGGGTCTTGTTGCAAGTGGAGCAGGTGAAACAGCTCAGGTGATAGACAGAGTCTCGGGCGCGCATGACCATCTCAGAGGCGGAGATGCCAAGGTGGCAGCGGGCACATCTCTGCACAGAGAACCTTCTGGAAAAAAAAAAAAAAAAGTCAGGTCAGGGAGCAGGGTGAGGCAAAGGCAGGCCATTTCCCACCCATGACACCTGGGGTTTGGTCAGCAGTGGTCCTAGACTGACACCTAGGAGGGCTCCGGGAGAAGAGGGCTCTGGGAGAAGAGGACGCTGGTCCATTTGGTCATTAAATTTATTTTCTCATTGACCTGTACTGGTGAACCAGGACAAAGAACCCTTATATTAAAATGAGAAGAATAGGGTAACATCTTCAGTTTCCTTCTCTGTAAAGTTAAGACTTAAAAAACAAACTAAAGCCAAAAAAGGAAAAAAAAAAACCAACAATCAAACAAACCCGTACTATCTAACTCAAACGCTATGTAAAGAATATTTAATTGCAATGCCAAGGAGAGGGTTTCATCTGTTACAAAACATTCTCCGAAGGGTGGTATTATTATCATTTAGGGATGTGTGAGTGTGTATGAAATCATTCAGACAGACGCTTTTGCAGAAGAAATCAAATTCTTTTTTAATCGCCTCTCTCCCTTTGGTTGAGAGCAGAGCTAGGTCACTTGCACATAGTTCTCTTTCCCACTCCAGAAAAAAAATTGCTGGGAAGCACCAAAAAACATCCCTGGAGTTTACTCTCCAGGCTAGCCCGCATGGTTCTAACTAGCAGCAAGGGGAACTCAGAACTGAGTGGCTTGGGTTTCACCAACGGTGATTATTCCTTTTCATGGTCGTTTACGTGGTCTCGGGCCACCCTGACGAAAACCTAACACCCGGTCCCTGCCGCCCAGGACATCAGTTCAGTTCCAAGGTGCGGTCTCGCCCAGTTCGCAGTAAACGGAAAAAAAAAAAAAAAACAAACAAACAAACAAAAAAAAAAACCGCTTTAGTCTCCAGATTCCCTCTGCTGAGCTGTGAAAGTGCCGGGAGTGGGTGATAGTCACTGGTAGCTCTTGAACTTGGTGTTCCTCCCACCCATCCTCACCGCCCTTCTCGGGGTGGCTCAGCTTGAAGGCGTGTGCAGTGGACTTCCCCGGTCTCGGGACTGATAACTGTACCCCGAAGGGGCGAAGGGGGGGACGGAGAGGAGGCCCCCGGGCTGGGGTAGGTGGCCCCGCCAGGTGTACGGGGCGTAAGAGATGGGGACGGGGATACCTGTAGTAATCCTCCTTGCAGTAAATGCTACCGTCCTTGGCGAAGCAGGTGAGCTCGGACTCGAGGGCCAGCTTACATTCACAGCACTTCAGGCACCTCAGGTGCCACTGTTTGTCCACAGCCAGCAGGTAGTACCTGTCCGAGATCTTGCCCCCACAGCCGGCGCACAGAGCTGGCTTCTCCGGGCTTAGCGGGGGCATGACCTGCAAGGCAAGCACGTCGCACCGCTGAGGACGGAGGGAGGACCCGGCGCGGCGCGCACGCACAACCCGGAGTTCCCACCCCGCAGCGCGAATTCCAGTCGTCTGGGGAGCGCGGCAAGGGTCAGGGGCCACAGCGCAAAGGCAAACGGCGTCGAGGAAAAGTTAGCGATTTCTCCTTCTGCAAGTCATTCCCTTTCTGCAGTGTCTGCCTGAACCCCGCGTTCGCGTTCTCCCGGGACTATTAACCTAAGACAGGCTGGCCATCTCCACCCTCTTTTTAAAACCTTAAAGACAAGCCGTCCACCTCGCGCCTCTTTTAAAAAGGCTCGGAGCTCATTGAGTATGGTTTGGCGGATGCTCCCAAGGTTGAATATACATGCTAAAAATTGTGGCTTTCGACGCACACAAAATAAAACAACGGAAATTTTTACCTGGGAATGGAAAGGAGATTGGAACGAACACAGGTTGTTTTGAAACCATTCCATTTCTCTAAATTCTTATATGCAGCGTTAACTTAAAAGGAAGGAAGAGATTATGATACCTGTGGTCGACACTGTTTTGACCGGGGTATATTTGGCTGTTCTTTAATTTTCAGGGATATTGGTCCTCTAAATATTGGTGCCTGTTCCCGGGAAGAGTCTGTTGTCCAGTCCCTTCTGCACAGTCCGCCTTTCCCCATTACTAACATAGCGGGGAGACCTGTGTCCTGAAAATCTGTTTGGTGCCCAGGTTAAGCTTTCCGCGCGCTTATCCACCGACCGAGCTGAAGATGAGGAAACCTCACAGTGACGAGCACGAATCTCGCCACGAGATTCGGGTTTGGGTTGCTTTTTGGCTTTAAACAGGATAGCCACAACAAGGAAAAAGAAAAAGAAGAAAGTAACCACTGGTCCTTTCCCCTCAAGACTAGCAGAAATGGGTTGGACTTCCCCCACAAAACTTTGGCGGGCCTGGAAAAGTAAAGTTTCTTCCTTTTCCTCAGACCCGGGGCCCTCCACACTGCATTTGTGTTGCAAATGTGGAAACCTCCACCAACTCGGCTCCTTGGTGGAACCCAAAATACCACTGACCGCCCGGGGCAGTCTACCGGGTTGGTTTGCGTTACAATGCCCGGTGTGATGCCGAAGGATCTACACAGCTCTGTTTGGCTGAAATCATTTCCGGAGACTTCTATAGTTTTCCCCCCTCCGGCTCGTTAGAGGGAAAGGGAAGCACATAGATTATCAGTTGGTTTTCTTTATTAATTGGACGTGACTTTTATTAATATGAATAGTAGTAACAGTGGTAGCTGGTTACATCGTTTAAGGGTTAGAAAGTTCTCGCGCTTAGACTAGGTGCCCCGCTCCTCCGGATTTTTATTAGATTTCCCCATACCCGTTACACCCGCCCGGCCCGGAAGTTGAACGCAGTCCTGTTTCGCTAGAGGGGCCGGGTCGGGCTGCCCGAAACCCCGAAAATCGCTGGGTTAGGCAGTGCCGAGCTCCGAGCGTCCCGAGACGCTCCAGCCCAGTCGAGTCTGAGATCTCTCCAAATACCCTGTCGTCACACCCAGACTAGAGCCACCTGGGCTGCCGCTTGGCCGGGAGGCCACCGCCGCGCGCGCCTCCGCGCATCGCTCGCACCCAGTTCGCCCTCCCTGCCGCGATCCTCGCCCGGGAGGCTCCCGGAGTTTGAAGTCTGCAGAAGAGGACATCCCCATCCTCTCACTCCTGGCCCTCCCTGTTCTGCCGGGAGCAGCTGCGGCAGAGTGGCGAGCTCGGGGTCTCGGTTGCAGAGACATTTCAAGTCAGAAAGGGGGTTTTCTTAGCCCCGCAGGCAGTCAGACCGGAGAAAACCCGCCCGCCGGCCTGGAAAGGACGTCTCTAGGACCCTCCATCCTCAGCTCGGCAAGCCAGGGAATGGAGGCTCGGTTTCGCAAAGCGCGCAGGGGCGCCAGGCTACCGCCGGCGAGGGGCCCTTCCTTACCGCATCGCGGCCGTTGAGCTGAGCGCCTTTGGCCAGGCGGGCCTCGGTCTTAGATCTGCGCTCCATCTCCTCCATGATGCCTTGGATGTGGCCTCCGGAGATGCCGTGGAAGAGCATGGCTGGGGGACGGAAAGGACACGAGTTGTCTTCTGCTCGGCACCCCACTATTTCCATATACACACGCCGGCGGCTCTCAGCTCATCCGAGGGAAGCAGCAGAAGGGACGGCGGAGAGCTGCGTGTTGGAGGAGTGCAGAGACGCTCGGGGACGGAGGGCAAGAGGAAGAGAGGGAAGAAGAAAGAGGCAGACAGAGTGGAAATTGGTCTGCTTGGAAAAGAAAAAAAAAAAAAAGGAAGGAGGAAAAAGAAGGGGGGAAACCCCAGCGGCTCCCTGAAGGAGATGTGCCGAAAACAAACAAACGGGGGCGGAGGGGGAAGGAGGCGAACGAAGAAGGCGAATCTTTCTGCTCCGAGAGACCGAGAGATCGAGTTACTAATGGGAAACAACTGCAGCGGAGGGAGGAAAACAAAATCTGGTGAAGAAAGAAAATAGTTTTGAACACAAAGAAAGAAAAAGAAGTGGTATTTTCAGCGGTCCCTGGCTGCTTGCAAGTTCCCAGTGCCTGTAGGTTGGGTTGGGGACTGCTCCTGCCGTAGCTGTGTCCAATTTGTTAAGAGACTAAAGCCAGCCCATTTTTGATAATTTAGTAGGAGGAGTTCTCTCCCTGGAGCTGCCACGGATTTTTATTCAGACAACAAAGACCTGTCATACTCCTCTCAACCCCCTGGTGATGGGCAAGCAGGGACAAACATTACAAAGGGGAGGGGGCCGAAGGGGGGGCTAGTAGGAGGGGGCATTTACTTCCCCAACACACACACACACACACACACACACACACACCCTTCCAAGAGTGCTCAGTAATCATGTTTTAAAGGAGGAGAAGGAGACCTTATTGTCCCCGCCCTGGTGCAGGAGGCAGAAAACGGGCCTATTTGATCCAAGTTCAAGATCAGACGCCAGCTCAAGGCATACAGGATGTCAGCTCCAAACTTTGGGTTTCCTCCTTGTCGACTTTATGGTCCCTAACTTACAGGGGACCCCAAATAAGCTAATGTTAAACAGATATTCCTCCCTTCCCCTCTTCCTCAACTCACTTTTTAGAAGCAGGCCACTTCACCTCCCCTAGAGGCCCTCCACCCTACCAGGGCCTGGAACATCACCCAAAGTGAAAAAGATTCTGAAGTTTACTTTTGGCAAAAAGTTTTTGTTTGAAAAATGAATGTAGAGGGCATGGAGGGGGAGTCCTCCACTGAACCATGACACGGGATGAGATATCTTTTACCCCAGTTCAGGTTTGAAGGTAAACAGTTGGTGATTCTAGTATCCCACTTGAAACTTCTGCATGTGAGCCTCTGTGGGAGGACCCCTGCAGGACTAGGTGCACGGCCTTTTGCGTGCTGTTCCCCCCACCCTGGCAGGACAGGGGACTTGTAAAACTAGATGCGCCGCACATTCAGGAGGATGTGAAAGGGGCTCCTTGCTGCGGAGGAGGGGAAGGTGAGAGCTGACAAGCAGAATGGCAGACCTGAGCCTCACAAGAGGCGGGATTGTTCTGTCTCCCTCTGTTCCCGCTAGCGAAGGCCCCTCCTTGGCCCTATTAAAAAGTGTCCACAATACTCCGATATTGTCGATTCATTCAAACCAGCAGAAGCCCCCTAGGGGCCCGAAGCATAGAGCAGCGGCAGGAACCAACCCAGCTTTAACCAGAGAAAGGAGAAAGCCAGGGCTACTCTCCCCTTCTTTCCTTCCTCCTGCCTGCCCTGTTTGCCACCACTCCCCACCATCGGCTCTCCTAGGAAAGGCTCATGTCTCGACACATCCTGGATACCTCAGAGGAGTATCCTACTGGCAGACTTGCTTCTCTCTAGGGGAACAGTGGTCAAAGCTGAAAAGATGAAGAAAGAGAGGAGGAAGAGAAAGAGGAGGGAAGGACGAAGGAAGAATAAAAGGGGAAGGGAAGAAATAAGAGAATGAGAATGAAATGGGAAGGAAGGAAGGAAGAAGAAAGGGAAGGAGAGAGGGAGGGATAAGGAAGGAGAATAAGGAAGGGAGGCGAAAAGTAGGGAGGGAGGAAGGAAAGGCAGACAAGAATGCAGGGAGGAAGGAAACTACTTGTGCAGCAGTCTGACTTCCTGTCCCAAAGCATTGCCTTCTGAAGCTGCTGGAGTCACCTCTTCCATGAAACCCAAGACTCCACTGCTTCCCCTTGCTCTTTTCTCAGGGTCAAAAATAATGTTATTCGCAGACTGGACGCTGTTACAGTCCTCCGGGTGCCAGAATACAGCTCATAAAACACAATTTCACACAAAAATGAAGCCAATCAAGTGAACTAAGCTGGAGACCTCCCCCCCCTCACTTTGGCAGCCCTACCGGACAGCAGGGCTGCTATTTACTGTAAGTAATGTAATTAGCCCCTTTGGATGGAAATCAATGAGCTTTTCAAACCCACGTGCACAAACGAAGGGCCCCAAGGAGGGGCTGGGAGCAGCAACCCTTTCAGAGACATCAGGTCCTCTCACAAAGGGGCAGATTGCCTTCCCACAAGTCAGCAGCTAAATGGACTCAGACCCTAAGGAGAAGGAGGAAGAGGAGGAGGAAGAAGAGGAGAAGGAGGAGCAAGAGGAGAGACTCTGAGAAGAAAATCAGTCAGTTAACCCAAGGAAGCTCCAAGGAAAATGTAAATTTGGGACCTCAATCCAGGGACGTGCTTTGTCTCATTTCTAGACTAAACTACCACTCTCCCCCGTCAACTGCCTACCAAATGGGGGTGTTGGAACTGGGTTTGGCTGCTGTTGAATTTTGGTCCTCCTCAGCCAAAACAACAAAGAACCCAAGAACATAACCCTGTTCTCATAAGAGACAAATTTTGGAGATTTAATGAAGTGAAAATTTTAACAAACAACTCCGGAAAGATGCAGAGTTCTGTGAAGACTCCAAGGAAGCCAATCACAGAAGTCCTGTAAACCATCCTTCATCCATTCATCTGTTCCACAAGGATTTGTTAACTGTCTATCAGGTACAGGCAGCGCAGAGCACCTTCTACAGTCAGCTTTGGGGTTGGATCCCGGCTATTCCTGCTTTTTCTTATAAAACTCAGGTTGTAAGTTCCCGCACCCAGTGGGTGTTGCTACTTTCCATAAAGAAGTATACTGCCAGTAGTCTTCTTTCTCAGCCAAAGCAGGAAGTTTGCAGAAAACTAGGGGGTGCTGCTGGAGTTTGGGAGGTCCTTTTAAGTTTTGCAGAAATTGCTCCCCACCCGCCCAGCTCTGCCTTAAAGAGGATGCCCTGTTCCTTAAAGAGGATGCCCATGATGGGGAGGAGATATTCCAAGAATTGGATGTGTAATCTGGGCTATCCTTTTTGTCTTGGAGCCCCAAAAGTTTACCCAAGAGGGTCCACCTCACTCAGGAAGGGCAGTAAGCACTTTAAGGAGAGCATCTTTGTAGCTCTGTCTTCTTTCACCTCTGGAGAAGAGGTACTGGAGACCGGTGTCCCTCAGAATAGCCCAGAGTGCTCTATAAAAGTTGGAGTGCTCCCTGGTTCATTTCCTAGGGCTCTGCCTCTCTAAATGGGACAGGTGCAAGGGGCTCTCCCCTCCTCTGTGGCCCATAGTAGGATCTCAATGCTCCTCCCTAAACTCAAAGCTCAATTAAGAGCAGTGGGGCAGAACCCTGGCCGGTGGCAACCCTCCTCACAACTGGGCACACACAATCCATTATCTTCTTTGCTCTGCGATCCATCCATCTGGCTACAGTTGCCGCTTTCAGAAAAGCTGGAGCCTGGTTTCTAGCTGGGCAGAGCAGTAGGGGATTGATGGTTCAAGGTCCTGGAATCTCCACGAAGGAGGCCAGTTTGTCCCAAGCTCTGGCCCTGAAAAACTCCCCAAAGGGCAGGAGAGGGGAAATAAAGGGAATGCATGGCTTTACCCAGGGAGAAGAAGAGGCTTTTCCAGAGAGGAAAATAACCCATCAGACCCATCTCTTGAGAGCACTGGCAACTTAAGTTCTCTTTATATCTGACTTTTGGAAGTCAAGGTCCTGTACCCCTGGTTTGCCCTACAAAGGGCAGAGGTCACCCTTCCTCCTGACCCTGTTAAACTGGCTGGGGAAAGATGCAGCTCTTGAAGCAGTGTCTGGATTTTGGCACTGTCGTGAGCACCCCAGGGCTCGGCGAACTTGACGTCATCTGGGGCTGGGAACCGAGCGTTCAGTCTTGGTCTTCCCAGCTCCATTGGGCACGAGGTGAGCGGATGGCCCGGAGCCGCCAGGCCTTTCTCTAGTCGGTGGGCATAGGGAATCTCTATGTTCAAAGAGGTCCAGACTGGCACTGCCGCCCGGGCGCATCTCTGATTCAGTCCTCCTGGGAGGGCCGCCCTCCAGACAGATGGGAGCAGGACGGATGCGAGCGGAGCTGGGGCGGGGAGAGCCCTCCTGCACCGAGGGGAGACTCGGGTCCCCGCCCCGGCTGCACGCCGCTAGCGCCCCAGGGCCTTACCTTCCCGCGCGCCCTGACCCACGCACATCTCTGTACCCTTAAAGCCACCCGACTGTCGCTTGCTCCCTTCAAATCTCTGTCCTCCGTGCTCCCTGGTTTCTTGGGGGGGGGGGCGGTTACCACATCCGAAATCCGAAGCCCCTTTACCTGACATTTGCTGCGCCGTGGGCCCTCAGCCGCCTGAGGAATAAAGGGAGACGTCCCGCACAGCGTCCTCTGAGGTCGCGCGCAGGAATGGCTGCGCGGGGTTTGCATAGAACAAAAAATGCGAGGGAAGCCAGTTTCCAGTTAAGCCCTGCACAGGTGAGAAACGGTGTCAGCCCTGCCCCCTACCATCCCTTCCAGTGGGGAGACGCCCCCAGCAGCACCGCCGAGGATCCAGGGCGCATCCCTCATGCTGCGGAAAACTCTCTCGGCTTGGCTGCACGATGACCTCCACCTCCCCCTCTCCATCCTCAAAGAAGTCAAAGACATTCAAGAGAAAGGCAAAAGGAGGGAAATGCAGCTTTCAGGAATCCTGGCCGGAGACTGAACGAGACTGCATTTTTAGAGCCTTCGAAGCGCGGTGTAATTTCTAACACACACACACACCTCTTTCTTTCACCCAGTGAAGGCGCGCACACGCGTGTGAGCGCACACACACACACACACACACCCCAATGTGCACACCAGCCCAAGAAAAAGGGCAGAGGAAACGAGAAGGAACCTGGCGTGTAACTCACCTGCCTCTAGAGTGGTGCCGTTCAGCATTCTTAGAGCAAAAGGAGCTGATCACGCCGTAATGGTGGCCGTACTGGCAGAGAAAAGCCGCGCGTCAGCGGGGCGATACGGGCCCGGGGCCCCCGGCGCCTCCTACCACCCCGCTGGGGCGCGTCCGAACTGCTCCTCCCGCCGCAAACTCGGAGCCTGGGCGGCTTCGAATGAAGCCCAGCCTGCCTCCGCTAGCGCTTGAGACGCTCTTGGGGTGCCCGGCCGTCCGGGCGCACGCCCAGGCCAGAAAACCGCTCCGACGAGACAACCAACCCGCGTGGGATCTTACCTTGAGGTCCAGACGTTTTCCCCAAGAACCCGGTCCTCGGCAAGGGAGGGCGGGGGGCGGCGGCCAGAGGTGCGGGCTGGTCTCCAGGTGTTGCCGAGGGTTCCTCTGTTAATCCAAATAAATAAACCGTTGGATGGAAATCAATCTCTCTCTCTCTCAGAATTGACCCGAATCCCTCACCTCTGACCCGCAGCTCCTTCCACCTGTCTTTTATTTTCAGTTTATGCTTCCAAATGGGGAGGAGGAGGAAGGGGTGGGCAGAGGGCACAGACGCGGGCTGGTGCGCGGAGACGCGCTCTGAGACTGCGTTCAGCCCTTCCAGCCTCTCAATAATCAGGGGAGGTGTTAATGGAGGACTCGGCCGTAACTGAACCTCATAAAGCCCAGAACATCTTGAGGCTTGGGCGCAGCGGGGGTGCTGGGGTCCCGCGGCGCGCCCCGGGCTCCCGGCCCCCCAGCCGGCCTTTGCCTTCCTGGAGCTTGTACCTAAAAGATGCTGCCGCCAGCTGGTGCCTGCGTAGACCGCGAATGGGCGGTAGCTCCTGCGGGAAGCTGGGCTAAGCCATTGATTGCTCCCCCGCCACATCCCCGCCTTCCCCTCCCGGTCCTTCACTCTCGGCGCTCCCCGGCGAGGCGCCAGGAACCCAGCACTTCGGGATGCACTCCGCGCGCCACCGCGGCATTCCCAGACGGGTCAGCGCGGGGGCCGGAGGTGTCTCTCCCACCGACCCCTGCTAGGAGGTGGGGATGGCGATTAACCAGGAGAAAACCGACTCAGACCTTGGGAGATGAGCATTCTCGGGAACGCAGACAGACACCCAGACCCGGGACGGGGCGGGGGCCAGGTTACCTGGTCTCAGGTTCCCGAGGGGCTGCGTCGCCCCAGCAGCCCCGGGCGCAGTCAGGCCGCAGGGAAGCAGAGCGAGAACCGGGAAGCCGGGCCTCTGGCCAATTATTTACTCACTCCCCCATCCAGAGCTCTCCTCGCAGTCGGAGATGGGGGGCGGGGGATTGCTGGGAGGCTCCTGCGCGGATGCGGGAAGGGGGTGTGAGCCGCGAGATTGGCGGCTCCGGGATGCGAGTCCGGGTGCGGCGGCGGCCCTCCCTCTCCGCCCCTCCCCGCTGTGCCACCTGAGCTGTTCCTCTGCGGTGCGTGGGCTGAGGGCGCCCAGGGCTGGGGCGCCCGCGCTCCTACCAGCCTCCTGAGGAACCAGCGTGGGATGGGGGGCGCCTGGGGCTGCGCCGAGCGGGTCGCGGGGCAGTGCACCTCTTAACCAGCCCCGCAAGCTCCGCCACACAGTTTAGGGATGGCAAGGGAACCAGCGGGAACCACGAATCCAAGCCCTCAGTCTTTCTCTTTCCATCCCAAATCCCGAATGTGGCTCTGAGCACCCAGGACAGAGACCCTCGTTCCACCCGGACACTTGGCTTCACCAGCCAGTCCCACCAGCTGACTAGTTCCACTAGTTTACCACCTATCCCCTCAAGGCCCTCCCCTTCCCGTTCTGGCCTGCTTAGCTCTTTCTCTCCTGGAGAACCCCTATGTGTCGGTCCGTTTTCGCAGCCTGGGAGGGGACAAGCCTCTCAGGTTTAGCTTCTATGCTCGCCAGCGAGGCCATCGCACAGATGGACGGCAATACCGACGGAAGCGCTTAGGTGCTTTCATTCACTCTTGTCCAAAGCAGACGTTTTTATCCTCTTTGGGGTCACGAACCGTTTTAGATATTTGAACAAAATCAATCAAACAAACAAACAAACAAACAAAGGCATTCCTTCCACACGCGCGCGAGGTGCGCGCACATTGAAGCGCACGGAGGAACTCACACTTTGGCACAAATTTCGAGTGGGAAGATATGGTCGCGCCTCTACAGCCTATGATTCCCCCGGTTTACACTCTTTTTTACACGCAGTCTCAAAAAACAGGGGGCCGTGAGTTCTGGAGATTTTGTGTCATGAGCCCAACCTTGAAACCGTAGAGACCAGGGTCACTCTGCTCTCAGCGCCCAGGGTGCTCTGTCAGACACGCAACAGGGCATCCAGAGACCCCTGGTAGGCGGGGAGTCCCAGTAATGACTCAACGTTTAGGTAAAGATATCTGTAGGTTCCTCTCCAACCTTTTGTCAGAAATCAAGTTCTCACAGAGGCGTGCAAGAGGGTCTTGACAATCCCCTCCCCCTTACACACACGCACACACACTTGAACATATTACTTTTTTTTCCCTCTGTTTTTGAGGAGAGAGGATAGTTTTGGCACCCGGAAGTACCTTTTAATTGTTGCAGGATGGTGAAAAATAGCACCGACTTTTAAATCTTCCAACATGAGCAGACATCCAGGAACTCAAGCCTCTGGTCCAATGTAGAGAAGATGAAATGGCAGGTGTTGGTCTGAAGTGGAGGTTCCTTCTGGGCTAGCCACCAACTGTGAGGTCTCAAAGTGCACGCAGGAAAGCAGCGTGCTGATTGTCTTTTGCCTGGTAGTGAGCCTGCTTCCCTAGCTTTGTCTGGAGGTTCATTGAAGCTGGACTGATTTCTGGCAGTGGAAACGGGTGTGCGAAATGGACTTTGCAAATGCCTTGGATGAGGGGCACTGCGGTGGAACAAAGGTTTGAGCAGGGCCCAGTAGCATCCCCCCTTCTCTTGGGTCCTTCTTTTCCAAACACACCGGGGCTGGGAGTTCCAAGTTTCAAGGAGGGGAGTCCTTCTCTTCCTTGCGCTGCAAAATCAACCGGGCCAGTGTATCTTCTGAAGAGAGGGAAGTGTGCATTGCAATCCACCTGCAGCGAGGACTGCCAGGACAGGGCCCTTTCCCCAGAGAAGAGAAGCACCAGTGCTTCAGGAATCGATGCCCATCCTCCACCCGGGGAAACCCCATAAGAAGCTTCCCCAGTTTCCACTGGGTCTTTCTGTGTTGGAAACAATCTAGAAATCAGTGCCCCTTGACTTATGGTGACTTGCAACAGGAGTCTCCAGAAACCATGAAAGTGGAGCAGCACCAGGGTTGATTTAAGCTGGGAAGTTTCTATTTCTCAGCATCCACATGTGTTTGTATACACACACCCAATAAGAAACCTGAATTTTTACTTTACAATGTGTGAATACAATATAGCTTGAAGCTCTTGCAGTGAGGCCCGTTTATGTGGCCATATTGTGTTTCATGTGGGAGCACCGACCCACCGCCACCCCTGATGTGTGGTTCACAGGCATCTCCACAGAACCACAGCGGAGAACTTCAGGCCTTGGCTCCCAGGCTCCAGATGTGGGAGAGAGTAAGAGCACCCCCACCCCCCAACAGCGGCTCCTATGCTGCTGCTCACAAGGCTTCAAGTTCTGCCAGGAAGAGTCCCACAGGAGTATCATCTGGGATGGGACATGGAGTCCTTTCTCTTGGGCCAGTTCCCTACCTCAGGAAGTGCACTAGGAGGAGCAAAAAGCTGCCTCTAGGAAGGAGGAATCTCATAAGTTATTTCATTCTGTCAAGGGGCTTTCTCAAAACTCTGCCTTAAATCGGGGCCCCTTTTCAGAATGAACTTTCTTTCCTCTCTCTTTTTTCTCCAGACAGATGACCTTTACAGGCTCCGTTTCTTTCTCTTCTCCCTCTTGGGACTGCTGAAGAAAGTACCATCCAGCCCTCACCCAGAAAATGGCCTTAGTAATCTTCAAATCTAGTGGAAAACATTGAACTATCTGGCTGCTTCTTGACCTGAGGATAGAGAGGAAATTGGCTCCCAGGAGTCCATAAACCTGTCTGGAAAGTCTAACTGCCTCCACAATCATAATGTTGACCCCCTTCTCCTATTCACCTCCTCAAAACGATTTCTAGAGAGGACAACACCAGGCCACGAAGACAGGTTTTTGTTTTGTTTTGTTTTGTTTTTAATATCCAAGGCAGCTGCCCACACCTCACAGGGTCCACCAACCGGGTTGCTTAGGGCACCACAGTGGGAGGACTAGCAAAATTGGGGCACTAAAATGGCAAAGATTGGGGGAAACAATTTAATATTTGATATACAAATAACAACATAAATCACAATCAAGGGGAAAATCAGAGCCTTACTGGGCTTTTCACTTATTTCACAGTTTAGAATAGCTTTTACTTTAAATTGAGTATGTGAGAAGGCACCAGAATCTTTTGGTTGCCTCAGATCTCTAAAACTCTTATTGAGGCCACAGGCAGAGAGTAAGGAAGCCCCCTGAGATGTCTGAGAACCTTTCAGATTCTGTTGAGAGAAAAGGCTGAGGGTTAGCTCTGGGCAGAGCGACAATGGGCAGCAGCCTCCTTTTACTGAACAGCCTCCACTGGCAAGGAAAAGGCTTTCTGGGGCCCTTATCCTCAGAAGGAAGCAGGGGAAAAAGTGTAGGAACAATAGTCCCTGTGAGCCCCTAACCCAGGTTGGATACTGATGCCCAGAGGTATCGCTGCAATGAATGGAATGGGTATAAAGATGATAAAATGTCCTAAGATAGATTTGCCTGGGAAGTGTCATAAGACATGGAGAAGGAAGCTGTGGGGGAGAGAAGTGAGAATGGTCTAATCAGAGGCATTTTAAGCGGCCTGACCTCCAAGTCAGAATGATTTAGAGTTTTTATTGAGAGAACAGATGGAAGATGAGAGCATTTCTTGATGCAGAATGGTGCTTCTTGGGCAGTCATATGCTGCACAATATAGCATTATATCAATCTTCTTATAGTTCAAGATATAAATAAAATGAAGAATGTATTCAAACCCTTCTATTTGCCAGCAACCTCCCTTGGGTTGCTAACACAGAGGAGAAAACAGTAGGAGAACGGAGGCTATAAGAAAAATCGAGAGCAACTGATGTGACCCGATTGCTACTATTTATTTAATGGAACAGTCATTATTTTCTTTCTTCAACATATGTGTCTGATAATGAAGCAAAAAGAAAGGAAAATAACTATCAATGTGCCACTTCAGAAACACACAAACATTTGCTAGCTTTTTCATTTTATTGATGTTCTTTTAATATATGTACTTATAATTAAACTAGTGTTCAAGGACTAACAGCACACACAGCAATTCTGGATTAGGGTTGTTTTTTTTTTCTTTTTAATACAGGCTCAATTAGATGGAGAACGGAGATGAAATTGTTGTCAAACATAAAAATATGAATTGAATTTCTTCCTTTTAGATGGATCTTTAACATTGACTTGACCATATGGACACTGCAGAAGAAATAAAACAAATCATTATTGAATTATTTCACAGGGATCTTAAAAAAGTACAACACTCCTCATGGTGGAAAATGAGACT